CCCCCCCCCCCCCCATACATGAGAAGGAATGAATTTTTCCATGCAAATTTTCACAAATTACTCCCTCCGTTCTAAAATTACTCTATTGCTCTTCATTGAAAAATAAGTGTTCTTTGTCCCTATATAAACTTCAGTTTATAGTTTACGGTTGACGATATTTGACTGAAATTGTTTTTTATCCAATTTATTTGAACAACGGTGTATAATTAAAACATAAAATTTATGTATTTAAAAACTACATCAAAAGTTCTAAGAAACAAGAGGTGACATGATTTTTTTATTTTAAAATGACTAAGTTGCCCTCAAATATTTATTGCTCTTTTGCTTGTTACATTTAATACTTACAAATCATTAGGTGTATGTTTGTCATTTTGTGGCCAAATTATTTATTGTTTTCCCAATCCAACCTTATGTATGTGAAACAAAGAATGAGAAATATAACTGATGGCAGGTTCAATGTTAATCATAACTTACCTAGTTTGATACCACAAATAATCACTTGTGTCCCTGGTTACATTGACTTGTTCCAAGAGACCAAAGGATGTAAATGATGAGCTTCCACCCAGTGCAGATATATCTTCATTGTAAGTTTCCCATGCATACATCTCTGCATTAGTTGGCAGCATTTCCATTTGTGATGTCTGAACTCCAACCTGCAAATTGAATCGGCAGATAACTATTAGAAACTCCCGCGAGGTGCCAGTGTGGTTACTGAAGTAACAAGATGTTGGGGAACCCATTAAGTGTCATGGGTTAGGGGGAATCATTACTCGTAATCGGGTTTGTTTGGATTGCAGACAATTATAGGGAAAGCAATATGAAGCAAAACATAGAGGCAAATTAAAAGGAAAGAAAATATTATTCTTTATTACTCCCTCCGTTCCCATAAACACTTCCTATATTGACTTTGGGCAAAAATAAGGAAGGGTTATTTCGAATTGACTTTCCAATTTTGCCCTTAATGTGATGGGTAAAAGTAAGATGTGATGGATAGATTATTAGTGAAAAAGTATGATGCGATAAGTAGGTAAGAAAAAGTAGGGGAAAAGTGGTTTTTTAATAGAAAGTGGAAGTGTTTTGGGGAAAGACAAAAAAATTAAAGAGGAAGTGTTTTAAGAAACAGAGGGAGTATATCTGTTCTTTTCCTAGTATTTGATGTGATCCGAACATACCCCTAAAGTGTGAGGATAATGGAAGTGCTATTAAAAAAGGAAAAAGAAATGAAAACTAGAAGAAAGATTGCATACTTTTGCTGTGTTGAAGACCACATTCCTGCAGTCTGGAAGGATGCTGATGGACCAAGGAGGCAAATTATAGTGCATGTTATTAAACATCACTCTTGCAGGAGATTTTGTATCATAGTTTGAGAGAAAAGCTGCACACTCTCCAGTCCCAGAAGAGTACTCATATGCCTAAAATAATTAAAGCCAAACCATCAATACAGATCAGGAGAAAAAAGCACAGCAGCAAACAAAGAATGGGAATGAGAAGACAAGACCTGTTGAAGGCCTCCCAAGGAAGTCATGGTAGGATCTGTTGAAACTATAGCCCTCTCGCATAGCTTAACAGCCCTATGAAGCTCTTTCAAATGATCATATTTTGGTTGTCTGATCAAACCTGCACCATTGGAAAGATGTGACAAATGCAGCATTATTAGCCCATAACTGCAACTAATTAAGGTTGTCAATTTCATGCGAGTCATGAACCCTGCTTGGCAAGTGCACTGTAGTGGTTAGCTGTTTGGGTAGTCGTTACACAATACATCAAATTTAAGCTTTCGTAAACTAATCTTGAAAAACAACTACTCCAAAAGTTCTAAGCATCTTGAAAAACAAACTTTTTGTAACGAACTTTTGGGGACAAAAAAAACTCTCTCAAAAACTCTTCACTGAACACCTGGCCCCCAAACACCCCATAAGCAAGGCTCAGCTAATGGGATGTAATATTTAGAAGATACTTGCAAATACACTAATATAACAATCCTCGTAAACACAACCTATAGACACAATCTATAGAGTACCAAAAAGGGGTTTACCCAATGACGAAGATCCCACACAAATTTTGTGTGGGGTGAAGGGCATTAAGCAAGCTAGGAGGCCTTCATTTTCAACTTATGATCCTAATTTTTCACAAAATCATATCGGCTTATAATGAATAATAGTGCAAATATAATTTTTTTTGGCTAAAATGGTAGTCAGGTACTTCTACAGTTCTACATCATTTTAATATATTTTGTTTACTTTAAGTTTCTAAAAGAATAGATTTTTGAGTAATGCTTTTATACAATCAAGCATATTCAGCTTTACTTTAAAAAAATCAAGCAGAGTCAGCCAATGCGGCCATAATTTCAACATATTCTACCAAGAAACCTTATTGAAGCTTACAAAACAGAATCTTGGACATTAATGAACAAATGATGAGAGCAAAGTAGTCCATTCATACCATACTCATCAATCGGAGCATCATAGTCGTAGCTAGTACTAATAAAAGGGCCTCCAGCGGTGCGCCCGA